CCCCAAAACCCCAAAACCCCAAAACCCCAAAACCCCGTGAAGAAAAATAAATAGTGAAATCAAGTTATGTGACTCATTAAATATATAAAATAATCAAGCAAATATTATAATTAAAAAATAGATTGGTTAATATTTGTTTTCCTCAAATATCTTAATCTCACGAAATGATCAAAGATTTATAAGTACCTTCAATTATTGGCAATGGAAAGTATACCTTTGGAAAAGAATTAGGTTATGGAGCATACGGCAAAGTTTGTCTCTACAAAAATAAGGCTGGAATAGAATTCGCTTTAAAAATATTTAAAGAATATACTAAATTCATTGAAGAAAAGTCAATCTAGCTAGATCTTTAAGCAAAGAATATGGATAAAGATCTAATGATTCCTGATATTTATTACGATGGTAGTTAAATTTGCTTAAATGATAATGAAGAGTAACTGAGCTACTTGGTGTTTGAATATCTTCCACTATCTTTAGAGAAATATTATAAAGAGAAGATAGCACTAAATATAAGAGTTGATTTACCTAAAATGATAACTCAAGTCATCACATTGTTAAAGCAACTGCACAAATTAGGCTACCGTCACAGAGACATTAAACCAGATAATTTCAGAGTTAAGGAGTAAATCGAAGGAGATTTCTAGATCTATTTAATTGATTTCGGATCAGCAAAAGTAATTTAAGAAGTTTAAAATTCAGATTAGATTTTAAAAAATGTTGGTACATCAGCTACCTCATCGATATTTACAACAGATGATAAGATAGCTCTTGAAGGAGATGATTTAATATCAGCTCTCTACACAATTTTAATCCTCGTTGAGCCTGCAAATATTAGCTGGTTAGAAATATGTTATTAAATAGTGGGAAATCCTACTATGGACTAAAAGTAAGAAATGATTGCTAAGAAAGAAGAAATAAATGAAGGATAATTCAACAATAAATTATGCTAAAGAGCCGTCTCTGTAATAAAGTATCTCGAGAAACTAAGAAATACTAACCTTTAAAAATACCAAAGTGGTTTGGAGTATGATGAAGTCATCAATTTTATAACAAATGATGTTGATAATTTAGATATCAGATAAAAACAGCCATAAAAGAGAAAGAGTTTTGATATTGAAAAAAAGCCAGACATTATCAATCCAGATACAGATACAGAAGAAAATTAATAGAGATAAAATATTCTTATTCAGATACTCTACTTTATCTCCTGTTGTTGTATTTGGATAAAGATATTCAGATGCTGCAAGAGAAAAAGGACTTATGATATAGGAGACGATGACAATTAAGATGCTTTTAACAGAGAAAATAAGCAGTAAATGTAGGAGGAATTGATTAATAAGGATAAATAAAATTGATAATACAAAATATAAACAACTAAAATATTTAACAATCATTGCTTTTTTTAATTCTGCCTCATGGGGTTTTGGGGTTTTGGGG